AATCAATTTTCTGTCCAAGTTTTACATTTCTCTTCTTTTGTCTATTTCTCCTGCTGAGGTCCTGATTATATTTCCCTGACATCTGGCAGAGGTTGGAAACACTATATATTTATGCAGTGAGTACGTGTGTGCTTTGGTGGCTACACCTACTGTAAGCCAATGAATAGTTGACAATCTTAGTCAACATCTTGTCTTCAGGTGTCATAATTACGTATCTTTTTTTTTTTTCTTTTAATGCTATATTTCTGAGAGAGGGAGAAATGCTGGAAAACCCGATTACTTGGTAATTACTAGACTCTTCTGAGAAAAGAGTTAACTAAGATTCCCCCTCTTTTCAGTTTACTATTCTGAGCTCTAAGCTACTGGGTAGTCTAGGTCTGTGGAATTTTTCTGATAAATGAAAGAAATACTGAAAAACTGACTCCATTGCTGACCCTACTGTATATGAAAATACTGAAAATACTGAAGATACTGTATATGAAAATACTGAACCTCAGTATGCTCTCTGACACTGGTTTGCTTACTTTCATCTAAAATTCACCCCAAATTTAATGTGGAATCGAACTTTCTTTAGCACAAAATGTAATTGTGCCTTTTGCTTCAAAAAAGATTTTTAAAAAATGTATAGAAAAGGATTCTAAACCTGAGTGAATATTCAGTTTAGGAAGGAAATTAGGAGTAACTGGGAGCCTACAAACAGAGGAGGAAGGACTAGGCATTAGAGGTCACAAAATCCAATTATGTGAGAGCAGCCATAAATCAAGCTGAGAAGGCCCTTCAAAGGGAAATTAAAACCAAATTAGTTTTTAACCATGTTAGTAGAAGGGTATGACTTTTTTCATCCTAACATAGCTGTCTATAACAAGCTAGACAAATTATGCTCAAGACTTTCCTTACTCTCAACTGTAAATGCTGAAGGCAGTAACCAGTTGCTAAAGCAGAATCTGTGTGTTTGGGCCACTTAAGATGCTCAGGACTTCAGCACAGGGTTTGCTTTGGCCCACGGCTGGCAGGTGTGACATGGGAATTGCCAGGGAAACCTGTGCCCTTCTGCAGAAACAGTGGAAGGTGGGGTGAGATTACCTAGACAATGTGAAAATATGATGATAAATATCAGTATTTAGATACATTTACTGTGCTCCTAAAATAAATTAAACTTTCATAGGAGGTTGGCTCTGTGTTCCATTTGGACACATCTTGTGCCATTGGCGAAGCAGTAAAGCATTCTGCCTGGTTTCCTTTCACTGCAAATAGCTTGACTCAAGAGGTCAATAGATCCATTATATTTGATGTCTTATAATTGCTTAGCTTATCGATAAAAAGTTTACCATTGTGAAGCTGCAACATTTTGTAGATTTAGTACTGTATTTTTGAAAACTTCTCTTAAGTTCTTAAAGTGTATCTTACAGTATATAGTTTATTATGTGGTCAGACTAATGACATGACAGTCATTGAATAGTTTTTACAATAATGTATTTAACATTTGTCAGTATTGTTGATATTTGTTCTGTCATTTCAACAGGTATCTTGGTGATGAATAGCATATATGCAAATACTGATAAACAAAATCATAAAGACAACATGGAATCATGGTTTGTGTCAAAGGGGCATTGAAAGATTATCTAGTCAAACCACCTGCCATTGCAGGGACACCTCCCACTAGACCAGGTTGCTCAAAGTCTCATCCAGTCTGGCCTTGAACACTTCCAGGGAGGGAGGTTTCCACAACTTCACTAGGCAACCTGTTCCATTGCCTCACTACGCTTGCTGTAAAAAATGTTTTCCTTCTGGTGAAGGGCCTGGAGAATAGACCTTATGAGGAGCGACTGAGGGAGCTGGATCTGTTCAGTTTGACGAAGAGGAGGCTGAGGGGGGATCTCATCATGCTCTACAATTACTTGAAAGGACATTGTAGAGAGGTTGGTGCTGGTCTCTTCTCACAGGTAATTAGGGACAGAACTAGGGGGAATGGTTGCAAGTTGTAACAGGGCAAGTTTAGGCTGGACATTAGGAAGAAATTCTTCACAGAAAGAGTGCTCAGACACTGGAATAGACTGCCTAGAGAGATGGTTGAATCGCCATCCCTGGATGTGTTCAAGTGTCGTTTAGATGGGGTGTTGGGTGATATGGTTTAGGGGTGACCTTGTAGTGTAGGGTCAATGGTTGGACTCAATGATCCCAAGGGCCTTTTCCAACCTGAATTGTTCTATGATTCTATGATTCTGTCCAATCTGTAACTGCCCTCTTCCAGTTTAAAACAGTTGCCCTTTCTCCTGTCATGGCAGGCCTTCATTAAAAGTCTCTCTTTGTCTTTGTCATAGGCTCCCTCTATAAAATAAGAGGCTGCTATGATGTCTTCCCAGAGCCTTCTCTTCTCCAGGCTGAACGAGACCAACTCTCTCAGCCTTTCTTCATAGGAGAGGTGTTTCATCCCTCTGATCGTTTTTGTGGCCTTTGTCTGTACATGCCCCAACAGGTCCATACCTCTCCTGTGCTGAGGACTCCAGAGCTGGACACAGTACTGCGGGTGGGGTCTCACCAGAGGCAATGATTCATTCCTGTTCTTTCAAGAGAGAAGAGCTTTTAATAATAACATCCCAGTTACAGTCACTTAATTTTCTCAAGGGATCTTGGGGAACTCTTTGTAAATATTAAGCAACTGAATAATAATATTTGTGCATTGTTACAGCTTAACCCAACATCTACCTGATAGATAAGAAGTAGACCCCTTGTCAGAACCCTAAGTCCTTCTGAGGTGGCAGCTGGAGTCAAGCAGGACATCCTCAGCATACAGCACCAGATGACAATTTGTGAGCAGCAGAATGGAGACTTAAATCTCTGTGGCTGTAATGGGAATAGAGCAACCCACTTTTCCTGTAGATACCTACTTACGAATATCTAGATTTTGCAGAATCACAGGATTGTCAGAGAGAGATGGAAGGGACCTTGAGATCATCTAGTCCACCTCCCCCCTACACACACACACTAAAGCAGGATTGTCTAGAGCACATAATACAGGATTCAATCCAGGCAGATTTTGAATGTCTCCAGAGAAGAAGACATCACAACCTCCCTGAGCAGCCTGTCCCAGTGCTCTGTCACCCTCACAATAAAGAAATTTTTCCTCGTATTTAGATGGAATATCCTGTGTTCCAACTTGTTCCTATTGCTCCTTGTCCTACCACTGGGCACTGCTGCAAAGAATCCGAATCCATCCTCCTTAACACCCATCCTTTAGATATTTACAGATTATTTAAGTTTGTTGATTTGAAACTGAACATAGACAACAATGTTTTTTCTTCTTGGATTGAGCTTCCAATTTTGAAAAGCAAGAATAAAAAGGAAACTGACAAAACACAATGCATTAACAGTAAGAATGTGATATATCTGTTCTAGATGTACAAAACTGTGCATTGGAGATGTACTTTATTTTAGTCAGAGTGAGGTTAACAGAACATTATCCACAGACCGTGCAACCTTTAGTAGCCCAGACTGCAGACCAATACCATCTTGGAGGGAGAACTGGGAAACACCTTGCAAAGGATTGCAATTGCTCAGCTCATATGGATCTGTTTCTTGCCTACCTCAAGCTCTGTTGATCTGCTCTGGAAAACAAAGAAAACAACTTAGTAACAGCTCTTGTACTTATCTCTTCTTGTACTGCATAGGCAGACTGGAACAGATGAATTATTATGTTCCTCACAATCTCTCAATAATAAAAATACGTGTTATCTTTTCCAATCTAGGATCTCAACAAAGATTTTTTTTTTATGTCTGAAAAAAATGGAAGACAAGGCAGTGAGTAACTGCAACTTGCTTTGTCAGCTGAGAAAATGACAATAAATTATAGTTCTTTGAGTAATAAGCTGTTTAACCTCTAATTAAATTGCAGAAGAAAATAGGTGGTTTTGTGTACCTCATTCTTTGAAGTCCAGTTTGAAGTAAAATTTTTCTCTTTCCTCTTCCTCCTTTTTCCTTTTTTTTCCTTTCTTTTTTTCCCTCCCCCCCCAGGTAGAAGATAGAGCTGAGAGAAAATCATCCTGTTAGCAGAAATTATTTTTTCAAAGTCCTTGCACTAAGTATACAGAGTAAAAGTAGAGGCATTAAATTCTTTTTTGTATGTAAAACTTAAGAGTTGTTTTATAGTTGCATTGTTTCAGTATTAGTTTTCATATACTACTGCATAGTTCAGAATCAAAACCATGATTATTATCTACCAGTCCTTGGAAATTTATCTCATGTGGATTTTGTTTTTTCCATTTAGGTCCTGAATTCTCATTTGTACATTAGTAAGTGCTGATTGGAAAAGCATTTTGTGTGAATGGTTTTCTGATAGCATATGAAATTGAATCTAAATCTTTACTAGGAAGGTTCACCACAGAACAGTGAAATCTGTGCCTGCCATAGATAAGTCAGGGTATTTCATTTGCATGGAGGTATCAAATGTGTACAGACCCTGTGAAAGACCCAAGCCATGCTGGAGTGCTGGTGAGATAATTTGTGCATCTCAAAGTGGTCTTAGGTACCTTAGATGGGCAACTGAAGCAATCTCTAAGTGACATAACTCCTACCACAATCAAGCTTAAAAGGTGTAAGTGCCGTGTAGTCTATGAGCAGCAGCAACTGTGTATGAGTATACTCTTAAACTGTGGGAAACATGAGGTAGTGGAACTGAATGATGAAATTAAGGATGAAGTGGAGCTGCACATTTGGTGCAAACTACATTATACTATATCATCTCATTTTTGCCACAGGTCTAAGGAATAGGTACAAGTGAATGGTATGCTGTCAGATATGCTTTGACATGGTAACAGGGTTATATGTTTCCGTGTTTTGCTGGTGATTTTACAAGTTCTGTCGATAGAGATCATTTATACTTATTTCAACGTCACATTTTAGCATGAGTTTTAAATACTTATGTATTGCAAATGTTAATTTTGTGTACTATATCCCTCAAATATATTACTGTTTTAATCTTTCTTTTTGTCTTGCAGAGACAAAGTATTAGAATGGCATAAAATATGGCCCAGTTCTACTACAAAAGAAGTGTCAATGCTCCCTACAGAGATCGTATCCCTCTTCGTATTGTACGGGCAGAATCCGAACTGTCTCATTCAGAGAAAGCCTATCTGAATGCCGTGGAAAAAGGAGATTATGCCAGTGTAAAGAAAGCTTTGGAGGAAGCAGAAATTTATTTCAAGATTAATATTAATTGCATCGATCCCCTGGGAAGAACTGCACTCCTTATTGCAATTGAAAATGAGAACCTGGAGCTCATTGAGCTGCTCTTAAGTTTTAACGTATATGTGGGAGATGCTCTGCTGCATGCCATACGAAAGGAGGTAGTTGGTGCCGTGGAGCTGCTTTTAAACCACAAGAAGCCCAGTGGGGAGAAACAGGTATGTGCACGATTTCCTTTAGGTTTGTAGTCTGCTCTAATGAAAAAAGAAGAATTGTGAAAAGTGAGTAAGCAAAAAAAAACCAAAACCAACCATCATCTTTTCACACAACTGTTTAAAATCAGAAAATCACTGACTGATTCTGTATGCATTGCAAGCATTTGTGTTTTGCCATCATAGAATCATAAAATGGTTTGAGTCAGAAGTGACGTTTAGAGATCATCTAGTCCAACCCCCTGCCATCAGTCCACAGATCCATTATATTTCACGTCTTATAATTACTTAGTTTATACCTTATAGCTGCAAATTTTACCAATGAGAAGCTGCAATTTTTTAAGATTTAGTGTTTTGTTTTCAAAAACTTTCTTTAACTCCTTAAAGTGTGTCTTAAAAGTATATAGTATCTAACATGTTCAGAGTAATGCTATGAAAAACATTGAGTATTTTTCATAATGATACACGTTATTCAATATTGTTGTTGATATTTGTTCTTATCATTTCTACACCTAGCCTGCTGATGAATAGCATATTTGCAGATACTGATGAAGAAAACTATAAAGACAACACAGAGTCATGGGATGGTTCGAGTCAGAAGGGACTTTGAAAGATCATCTAGAACAACCCATCCACCATGGTCAGGGATGTTTTCCACTAGATCAGGTTGCTCAAAGCTCCATGCAACTTCCAGGAAGGGGGCATCCACAACTTTTCTGGATGACCTATTCCAGTGTCTCACCACCCTCACTGTAAAAAACATCTTCCTTCAGTCCAATCTAAAGCTACCTTCTTCCAGTTTAAAGCAGTTGCCCCAATATTACTCCGTGTGGAGTCTCACAAGAGCAGAGTACAGGAGGAAAATCACCACCCTGCTGGCCATGCTTCTTGTTGGGCAGCCCAGGATACAGTTGCTTTTCGGGGCTGCACATTGCCAGCTTATGTCCCATTTTTCATCCACCAGTATCCCCAAGTCCTTCTCCACAGGGCTGCACTCACTCCCTTCATGCCCCAGCCTGTACAATACTGGGGATTGCCCCAGCTCAGGTGCAGGACCTTTGAAATGGCCTTGTTGAACTTCATGAGATTCACATGGCGCCCAGTTCTCAAGCCTGTCAAGGTAATCTCTGACATTCATCAAATCTACACAGGTCCACAAGGCTTATCAATTTAATGTAATGCAGTTACATGAGATCTAGCTTCAAGTAAAAAAGGGTAAAAAGCATCCTTCTTACCCTCAGCCTGAATAACAAGCTTTTCTACTTACAGCTGAGTGAATTGTTAACTACCTTCTACATAAAGCCAGATTTGGGCTCACTTTTAACAGATCACACACAAATCCTCCTTCTTGGGAAACTGTGCAGTAAGAAAAATCAGACTTCTTCAAGTGAGATATTTTCATTCATTCATACATGGTAAATGTGATACCTACTCCCCCTGCACTGCCTTAAGATCTCTCTAGGAAGTAGCTAACCTCTTGCATATCCTTCTCATTTTAAGAAACTAGTGGAGACAGGATAACATATCCCATAAATTCTAATACTCCTACTACTCTTCCAGGAAGAAAAAAACCTTTAAAATAGTTATAATATTGTATTATATTTTCATCTATTTCATTTTTCGTGTATTATAGGTGCTGTATTAATGTATTTCAGTGAATAGTATGTTGAAATGATTACAACTCTTTCATAGATAACGCATACAGTATACCTTAATTAAAGGATAATGTACTTGCTATGGATAGAAATGCAGATAATAGGTAAAGACTATAATTTTTCCTGGTAAAATAACATGAATTCTATGCTTTTTTTGTTATGAAAAGAAAGAAATGTAGTAGGTCTTTGTACAAACGTGTGTGTCTGCCTTCTCTTCTAGACAGTAAAAGCAGAGCTCCTTTATAATGACAACAGATTTATGTCAGAGACAGGGAAGAAAACTAGATTCACTTCATGTCTGGCTCATTTCAGTGCTTCTCAACAGACAGTGCAGATGAGAATGGAATGTATGAGAATTTCTCAGTGCATAGGCCTATACCAAGTCAGTTAAACCACCAGGGTCTCCTTTCTCCAGCCTCTGTAGTGTAAGTTGCCATTTGCAGGATGGAGTTCACCTCACTCGATGGTAGCCATCCAAAGCTGTGTCTCATCTCTAATCTGGCTGCCTGGGCTCCCCTAACCAATGGAGAAAAATGGAGATCCCTGGAGAGCAACTCATGCTGTCTTTCTCAATTACTTGTCTTAAAACAGCATAAACCACTTTCTGGATTAGCTAGAGAATGAGCCTGTGAATTTACCTTACACTATGTGCCTAAACATCAGGCTGTTCTTAAAACTCCTAGGACTACTTTTTGGTATGTGCCACTGATACTGTAATGGAAGTGCTTGAATACAAATAGGAAAATTTGCTTTTGGTGAACTTCACAAAAGACAAATGCTTTCTGGGTGCATACTATGCTGCAGAGCACTTTGCTCTAAACTAGAGATTTGTTTTTTGGGCTAGAGCTTAAGCTAGAGCTTAAGTGCCAGACTCCACTCCTGACTGATACGAAAAGTGCTGCTTCTCCTTGTCTTCCTTGGCTTCCCAGGTTGCACTTGCTAGGGATCTTCCCATTACTACAAAGGTCCATTTGTGCTTGTGTGAGGCAGGGCTGGCAAATGCAAATATTACTTACAAGCCAGTGCATGTCAAAAATTGTCTTTAAACAAGCAGATTATTTACATGCACATGCTGTTATTTACACTGGGGATCCCAACAGCCATTAAGCTTCTATGTGTGTCATATGCTTAGGTAATCACATTGGTTCATTTCTAGGAACTGGTCAAGCTGAAGAGAATGTAAATGTGAATTACATTTTTGAAGTGATGCTGCAATGAAGCAGATACAACTGTGCATTATTTAATATCATTAAAAGTACCTGCTGGCTGAAAAATCATTGCAGTAGGCTAAAGATCTAAAATCTGGATGTTTAGAATTTTATCCTAAAATTTAAATTTTCTGTGTTTAGGCAGAAAAATATGTTTTTTCTCTGGAGAAACAAGTTCCTTTTAAAATTATTTCAGATTGAAGCTTGACTTTTTTGGTTACTTCTGTTTGTAAACATTTGCCATATTGTTTAGATGATGACTCATTTTTGGACTCTGCTTTTAATAACATGATATCTTTGCCTGTTTGCTTTTCCTTCTTTGTATAAAGATGGTAATGTGTGGTAAAATCCTGGCCCCTTGAAGTCAGTGGGAGATTTGCCATTGATTCAGTGAGGCCAAGATTCTAACCTGGTTCAAGCTGGTTTGTTTGGTTGGTTGGTTGGTTTTTGCCCCTGATAAAAAGTTCTTCACAGAGGAGACAGATAATAAGGAATAAGAAAAATACATGTGCTAAATACAGCCAAGATCAAGAAACAATTTAGATTCCCAAATATTTCATTAGTGATGAAAGTTATGAACTTTCAAATGCAGAAAAAAATGTTTTACAAGTAAATTAATTACTTCTCACTTTTTTTTTGTATTCATGAGATATTATATTTTTAATGTGTAACTAATTTCAGCTTCACTCTCATACAATAATGTACTTATATTTGTAAAACCAAAAAGAATTTTAAGCATTGGTTTTCCTATATATTTCAAGAGCCCATTGACAATGTCAGAAAGCCAGAAAAAGATAGCCTCTTGTATCAACAGAAAGCTAGAATTCTTCAGGAGAGCTGAAATGCATCTTTTGAAATAACTGATTTTTCTCCAAAATTTAATTCTTATAATATTAAAATGTTCAAAAAGAAAAGGAGAAAAATGTGAAATCATGTTAATTCTGACCAAGAATCAGTGCATTTAGTTAAAATAATATATTTTTGGAAAAGTTTTCCACCTAGTCTCTTCAAAATTAACGATGTTACTCTTCAATACTTTCTCCTCAGAAAAAAACAACAACAAAAGTACCCAAACAAAACCAACAGTCAGATCTTGTGAAAGTTATATCTAAACTCTCTATAGTCTACTGACCACTCAGCTATTGGACTCTACCTAATGTCTATACATGATGTGCTTTGCATTTCAAAGACTGTATTGGTTACAGTGGGGTTAAGCTGATTATCAGTATAGGGATACATCTGATGCCACGTGGTGACTACTGATGAAGTGTGTTTAACAGTTTTAAATTGTATTCAATTCCTACTGTTAATCAGTTTGCGAGTGCGTTTTTTGTAGTATACAACTCAGGAAAGGTTATTTTGTCACTTGCATTATATTTTCTACACTTTTTTAGCTGTACCAGCCTCCAGAGCACATGTAAAAGAGAGTAACACAAATTAAGGTAAATGAGTTGGGGAAACTTGTCCAAGTACTTTTAAATTACCAGTTCTTCAAAGCCATATGTTGTGAATTATCTGCCAAGACACTCGTTGCTTACTTTGATGGATAGTTGAATGCCAAATCAAGAGGGGGGGGAAAAAAAAAGCTGTTCATCAAAATTTAGCATCTGCAGATTTTTTTTTTTAATCTTGTTAAATTACATGCAGCATCCACAGATGGGATGGGGGTTACGTAGCATAAAAAAATTAGTACCTTTATCTGAATCACAGCACGGTCTACTGCTTGAGGAACACAGGCATTGATCTCGGGACAGATGGTTGACCATCTAGATATGCGTGACTTTTTGGGGAAGACTAAAGCAGAGTTGTAGCTGTCTTCTGAGGATGCTACGAATCACGTAAGTGAAGCTTAAGTCTCAGCTATTAAACTCGAATCTGTGTAACATTGTATTAGCTGACAGTCTAGATTTAGGGCATAGGAGCCTGACTGCAATGTTTATGGGTATTTATGGCTAACAAAAACATGTGGTAGTGCTTTTATGCCTCCCTGTACACTATTAGATGTTGATCTTGTGCAGCTGTGGGTATTTTTATAGGTGGACACTCTAGAAAGAGTTTTCTGCAGATTTGTGAAAAAACACCATGCTAATGCCAGACTGGCATTTGCAAGCATGAGAGAATTGCTGGAAGAAGGAGGACTTTA